AAATACTGGTGTGTGGAAAAAGTAAATGGATTCTTGGGCTAACTGAGTAAGATGGAGAGAAAAAGGAGCAGGAAAAATGAAGGCCCTGAGCTGAGGTAGCCTCTGCCTAGAATGTTTGAGAAACACCAAGGAAACCTGGTGTAGCGGGAATGAAATGAAGGAGGGGAGAGTAATAGATGAGATCAGAAAGGTGGTAGAGGCTAGAACACGCAGTGCCTTGCATTTTTACTCTGTGTGAGATGGGAGTTAACGGGAGGGCTTTTAGCAGAGGAGGAAGGTGACCTGACTTATGATTTGATAGATACCCTCTGGCTGCTGTGAGCAGAAGAAACTAGTATGCGAAGGTAGAAGCAAGGGGAGCAGTGAAGAGGTGATTATTGCAATAGTCCAGGTGAAAGATGATGGATACTCAGATCAGAGTAGTAGGAATGAGGCCTGGAAGGATAGATAGGTGAGAGAGGGAAGAGCAGAGTGAGTTCTCCTAGTAGGAGCAGTGGTATGGCCAAAGGCAGGGTGTTAGAAAATTGGTGTAGTGTGTCCCATCAGTCCATTTGAGGGGAGTGATGGTGGGAGGTGATAACAGGAGAGAGAAGTAACCAAGTCAGTCTTTCATTCCCATGAGCCTCACTTTTCACTTCTTCGTTTACAATTTTTTTTTTCAATGCCTCTTGGAGGCCTAGTTTTCTTACAGCCCTAGACTACCCTTCCTGCTGAACTATTCTCATCAGCCTACAGATGTTCTCCAGTTTCTTTCATCTTAAAAACAATAATTGCCCTCTTTTCCTATCCACTCCTGCCTTCTGAACTTTATCCCTGTGCAAATTCTTCCCCTTTGATCTCATATGGTTATTCTTCTAAGGAGTATGTACCTCCCTGTTGTTATTGTTCACCTCGTAGGCCTGTCTATTATTTGGTTGAAAGTTGAGCCACTTGAGTGGATTCAGTTCCAAGCCTGAAGGGTGAATAAAGGCCATAGCCTCGCCGGTCTATCATCCCATACCAGCTTTGGCCTAATTTCTCTAATTTTCCCTCCTGCAAATCACCTTCCACAGCCTTCCACCTCTCAATTGTTCACAACTTCATCCTTTTTCTTGCTCAGTCATCCTAGAGTCATCCTTGACTCCCCATTTCATTTCATACCCCATATACAATCCACCAGCAAAATCCTCTCATCTCCCTTTTCAAAATACATGTAGAATATGACCACATCTCGCTATCACCACAACCTTATCACCCTGATCTGAGAGCCGCCCACAGTCTTTCATCTGGATGATTGTAGTAATTTCTTCATGGTTCCCCTTCTCAAAACCTGCTTGTGGCTTCCATCTGACTCAAGGTCCCCTGGCTCCTGCCCAGTGCTCCTGATTAGTCTCTGACTGCTCCTTCTGCCCTCCTCTTACCTGTTCATCTCTGTTGCAGTCATATTGATTTTCTTTGTGTAGATCAGTGCTTGCCATCACTGACAATGCAGTACTATGCATGTAAAAAAGTTCATCCTTGTTGTCTGTACGTCCTGTGTACCTCTCTCTGTCCTCCTCTTCCTCAGTGCCACTGTGTTGATCATTCACTTTTGGTACATTGCCCGTCATATTGATTTCATGAGACTCTTAACACACACCAAGGCTTGTCCTCTTTTCAGGGCCTTTCTTCTTACATAGTATTTTTTTTTTTTTTTTGCTTGGCGCCCTCTTCCTTCTTATATCCTCATGGTTTCCTCCCTCATCTCCTTCTCGTCTATGCTTAAATGTCAGCTGCTTAGTGGCACTCCCTTCTCCATCTTTTTGCATACCCTTTACTTGCTTAATTTTTCTTCATATAACTCATCACTACCTTGTATGTCATGTGTTATGTATTTTATTTATTGTGTGTCTCAACAGCTAGAACATAAGCCTCATGAGGACAAGGGCTTTTGTCTGTATTGCTTACTGTTTTATCCCCAGCACCTAAAACAGTACCAGGTACAGTTTCGTAAATATTTGTTGGGTGACTGAACATGGAGGAGTGAAGCAAGGGATGGCTGGAGGAAGTCAAAACTGACCCTTGGGGTGACTGGAAATAGAGGGTGATAGAAGTTGCACTTCAGAGGGACCACCATAAGCAAAACCTAACTTCCATCCCTTTTCCTGAACCACTAGGTGCCAGAGGAGACAGATTATGAGGCAGTACCTGTGGAGGCCTATGGGCTGGCCATGCTGCGGGGCATGGGCTGGAAACCTGGTGAGGGCATCGGCCGTACCTTTAATCAGTGAGTGCTGGGGTGAGGCGACAGGACAGACAGGTGGGGCAGTGCCTTGTGGTCACTGCCAGCCCACAGCTAACCATCCAGGTACATTATCAGCCGAATGCATTCAGTAGCCTTGTCAACTACTGTTTCCACTTCCTGTTTATTCTTTGACACTCCATAATTGGAACCCATTTATGTAAAGTTTGCCTCTCTAGGCATCAGTCTCCTAATCTAAAAAATGAAGATAATAACAGTCTAGACTTCATGGGTCTGTTGTGAGGGTTAAATGAAATTACTCATATAAAGCACTTATAGTGGGCCCTGGCGCAGAATAAGCGTAAACAAGCATTTGCTGTTATTACATGGACTTACAAATCCTTATCCACAATTCCAAACTCCAAAGGATTATGAAACGCATACTTCTTTTTTCATAAGTCATTGGGCAGCCAAACATGACCTGAATTAATATTGAGTCTGCTTTTATAGTTTGTTTTTCCTTCTTGTTATGAATATTCGTATGATTTCCCCTGCAGAAATATTAATGTGTTTGTTTACAGGGATCTGCCTGATATCCCACTGTAGATACCATGTAATAGATGGTATACACAGATATTATTAGGTTGAACCATATTAAATTACCATTTTTATGGGTCAAAATATGGGATCAGAAAGAGTATTCCTTAACATATTGATGAGGTGTGAGATTTGGGGAGAGGGAATGGGCACTGAAGGTTGTTGCATTCTCCAGCAAGCCTATATTCTTCCCTGTAGAGTTGTGAAGCCCTGTGCCAACTCATTGAGGCCCAAAGGATTAGGGCTGGGTGCAAATTTGACCGATGCCAAGGCCCTGGCCCCCCCGGCCCCCACCATCTGCCAAAGCCAGATGAGAAGCAAGAGAAGGAGAAAGACCAACTGCAAGGACTGGTGCCTGGAGGAGCTGTGGTGGTCTTGTCTGGCCCCCACCGAGGCATCTTTGGGAAGGTAAGAAACCAAGATCTTCCTGGAGCTCAAGATCGGACAGCAAAGAGTATTGATATGAACGTGATGAGGGAGACACGAAGACCAGGCCTGGTCCCGACCCTGAGGGTTCACATTCTGGTGGGGGGAGACACAGAGACTAGGCCCAGTCTCACCTCTCAGGGTTCACAGTCTGGTAAGAGAAACACAGGAACCAGGCCTGGTTGTAGTCCTCAGGGTAGTCATAGCCTTGTGCGGTTACAGGAGAATCAGGCCAGAACTACTAGAGGTAAAAGGGCAGTAGCTTGGTCTTAGAATGTGGGTGGAGTTTACTCCACCATGCCTAACTTCTTCCCCAAAACACTTTATTTAGGTGGAAGGCCTTGATCCTGACAACGTTCGGGCCATGGTTAGTGTGGCAGTGGTAACCGTTAGTGAGTACTACCTTCGGCCTGTCTCCCAGCAGGAGTTTGACAGGAACCCCTCAGAGCTCGGTGAGTGAGCCTCTTACATAGCTGGAGAAGTTGGAAACATTTCAGGGGATGGTAGGGTCTCTCTTATAGGATGGGTTGTAAATCTGCAAAGGGTCAGTGTTCTGCCTGGCAGTATGACTTCTGATCAAAGCTTAGGAGGTGAGAATGAACATAAGTG